CATTTGTCACTCTTATGGGGGAAGTTGGCGTTTTTAATTTTTGGAATAACGGTAAATTTAGTTTAATTTGCGTATCTAATGGTATTGCGTAACTTCATAATTCTTCTGCACATAATGGTGCACATTTGCATAACTTGGCGCTAGATTTGTGTGTAGCCTCTGTTGCAATGTAGATATATTTGCCTTCTCTTATTTTTATTTTTTAGCAAATATACATGAGCTTGAAGCCATCTTCGCTTCAGGTATGATCCAAATTGTAAAGGAGCTTCATCATGGACCTTTACACTGCTTGTACGAGGCTGCTATTGACAAGGATATACTTAAATTGATTTTTCAAGATTCTGTTTTATCCTACCTCTTGCGGATTACACATCAAAATTCCTATGAAGTTAAACCAAACAAAAATTCAATTCTCTCTCTCGTAGTGGAATTTTGGCGAGAATTTATCCTAGAAAACGATCCAATAAAGGTAGCTTCCTATTTTACTGTTCATTCTATACTTTTTATATGGGTATTCGCTTTTTATGGTTATATTTAATTTTTGATAAGTATTGAGGACAAGATTCGCTTTATGATTGTTAGTCTTATGGGGTTTAAAAATTCTATATTAATTTTAATTATTATTTTATAAAGGAACTCTTATTCAGCAATTTTTATCTTTCATTTAAATGAAATCCAAAAGCCACCAAATTTCATTAGATATGTGTTTATGTTCACCTCATTCTACAGTTATCTAGATATTTTTCCTGTAAGAACGATTTATCTTGGGTGTGTTAGCAAAATAATCTTTTTATTATTTACTCATAATTTTCAAATTTCTTCTCATTTTTATTACGATTCGTCTTTACTCTTCTATCCTTGCGACCTCCTTTGTCTACAATTTAGTAGATATGTAAAGAGTTTAGCTTCCTTTGCATCCTGCATAATGCCTAAATTATATTATCTATAGAGTATAACCTTAATGGCATACTAGTAAAACTGGCTTAATATTATAGTGCTGTCTAATTTTCTTGACTAAGTTGGTGGCGCTCGGAAACATTGAGACTACGCTGAACTACCACTACCCGAGTTCGTGTCCCGCTGGTAGTGCTGACGAAACCTAACCGAGGTCGAAATTTCAGTCGATTCTGTATTATAATACCTTTTGGCAAGCAAGACTATATGAAATATAATGGGAGCGTGAGGCCTACTCATGTCAATGGGGAAAAATTAAATTACTACTCCTCCATCACCTTAAACGAAATGTGGTGAACACAGTTCGAAATATGCTGTTAGTCTCGCATGTATTATACATAGTGCCTTAGTTTCATTCCTTATAAAGTATAACCTTAATGGCCTACTGCCAAAACAGACTTATCATTTGGTCGCTAACTATATTATATTTTAGTTATTTTATATATTCTGGTATTTGCTAATTTTCCTGAATAATCTGGTAGCGCTCGGAAAGATCTCAAATTCAATACACAAGGAATGATAACAGTTTATTGCTTCTATATTTTAAGGTCTTTCTTCCATTCAATTATACCTAGGCTTAATTATCTGATTTTATTTCAGTCTGTCTCGCCGGCAAGCAAGCAACATATATCAGGCCGTACTCTTTTATTGT